CCATATAAAGATTCCAATCTTTCAATGTTTGGACCTCTTACCAAAATTTGAACGCCCGTTAAACTAGAATATAAAAGTTGTCTAAATTGATCCTTCCCCAGTACAGCTCTCAAATCTTTAAGTATCACTGTAGTAGATTTCCCTGAGACCTCTGAGAATTCAAGTGTTGTTTCTGGTTCATTTGAGTTTAAAGTTAAATTTACAGGTAATTTGGCATTTACTAAAGTAAATCCATCTTCAGTTTCTAAACAATGAGAAATGCTATTTGATGAAATAAATTCAAGTATACATTCTTTATAAATGTGGTATTTTTTGTGATGCTAACCAATTTGATCCTCCAAATTGTAATTTAATTCATCATCTAATAAGCTCATGGGAAAAATTTCTATGAAATGTCTTGCTCCTGCACTAAGAATCCATACCAGCCACATGTGGATTCTGGTTTAATTGTAATTTATTAATATTCTATTTTGTAAGTATTGAATACTTATCCCATAACTATAAAACAGACCTTATAAAAACATGTTTCTCATTGGTTATATCACTAAAAGTTCTAGGCTGTCTGTTTGAATTATTATATAATCCTGGTCCATTGTTGGCTGTTGATAAACGAACAACTCTTTGTGGACATTCTGCTTCTTCTGCATTGTACTTCTTTTCAGCAAAATCTTGTAATTCTCGAATTACTTCTTTTAAATTATCAACTAAAAAGGGCCACATATTTAACAGAAATTGTTTGTCCCTCATGAAAACAATAAAACTGCACCATTTACGAAAACCTCTTGCCTGTAAAAAGAAAAAGAGAATACCTTAATATTGATGAATTACTTTCTAAATTCCTTTCTAAAAATTTAAAATTATAATTAATGACATGGTTTGAATAATTTGTTGTAATAGCTACCAAACATGCTTTTTCGTTGCATAATTCACCTGGGCATCTTTTAATGTAAATGTATGACTTAAAACATGCCCCCTATATTCATCTCCAAAGTAGCAAACACCTTCTTTACCAGGATGTACTTCACAGCTTAGACTCCTTAAAAAATTAAAACATACATATGATTATCAAATTTTAGAGGATTGAGTAATATATAAATTCATGTTATTATATATATAAAATACATATTTAAAAAATACGAAGGAATATTTCATAATTATTATACCTAAAGCATGCATGCTTTAGCAAGCACCAAATATCTTGAGTTAATGATTGCTGAGCAGAAAGAAATGATGTCCTTGTTTCATGTTCATTACTTAAATATTTCACATTACCAATACTTTGACATCCTTCACATTCATGCTGTCCATCTTCCATAACACTTTGACTTCGTCTTAATATTTCTTTTGGACCATAGAATTTCAGTTTCTCTGTACTTTGATTATCATAATTACGATATGATTGAGTTGTAAATATCACTTTAGGTCCATGTGATTCACAGAAAATACATAAAGCAATCACAGCATTCATTGTTAATATTACTGTTTTTTTATATGAGTGTTACAAATTTACTGTTCATATATTTTTATATCCTTATCACTCTTATCATCTTAAACACACACATTATGTATTATATGTATGTGTGTGTGCGTATAAATAACGCAATATATTCGCAAGATTTAAATAAAATATTTAAATGTTATACATATTTAAGAATTTAGAAAGTTAGAATTATAATTTTAAACATAACCTCTGTTCATAATGTCAGATATAAAATGTATCTAATATAAAAACACAGTGTGAGTGTGTTATTTATTAATTTTTAGTTCACGTTTTGAAACAACGAAATTAATTTTTTTCAGCTTTTTCACGTGATAAGACAGAAATGAAGAGAAGCCAAGAACACGTGACATTATGATAGTCTTTTATACATATCTGAACATACATTTATATCATTCGTTTGTATGATGCCTGCTCACGCATACACTCATAGTTTTGATGACCTCGTACATATAAGTAAAAGCAGAAATATATTTATGTAGCATAATGAATCGCTTCATCTAAGGTGTAACATGTAATATCATTAAATATTTATTAATTTCTTTTCTCATGTATTAATATATTTAATATTAATATAACTAATAATACTTATGAGATACGTATTACAAATTTATTATTTTGTATTACGATAAATTAATTTTAATTTAGTGCCTTCATATGCAGCTCTCATCCATATACCTACTGAATGTGCTTGAGGATCAGGATATTTGAGTTCCTGAAATAGATTTTAAATAAATTTTTCTTATTTTAATATATTAGTACAAACTAAAATTTGTGAAGTAAACTATAATATTTTATATTTTTTACATGAGAAGATTGTGTATACAAAACATTTGTAGTAAAATTTTCAGCGGCTTTCACAGCTATTCCAAATGCATCAATAGGATCCACATTTCTACTTAATGCATTTTGTAAATCTATCTGTACTGCTGTTAAAGTCGTTAATAGAATTTGGTCACCTACAGAGGATGCTTTAAATTGTTCAATTGCTTTATTTGCAGTAATTAACACATGTAACCATACATCTACTGTTATCTCTTTATCATTTTCATATTTTGAAAAAGCCTAAAATGTATTATACATTTAAGGAGTTAACCATATATGCAACTGAAAAGTTAAACATAATATATTATATCTTACTTCAGCAATATAGAAAAAAAATAAAAAATATAGCCTTCCTCGTATATCACTCACTGTCTTTTGAATGATATGACTAATTTGTAAAAATGTTATATATAAATTTGTTCCCAATAATTCATTTTTCTGTAAAATGTTTTAATTAAAATTCCATTATGTGTGTTTTTTTAAAACATATTTAATATCCAACCTGAATAGCATTTTGTATAGCTTTAGCTCCACATGCAAGACTTGTACCATAATTTCCATTGCCATATTTTTGATCCATTATATTCAATTGTCTTTCACATGCTATTATTGCTTCACATGCCATTGATATGATTAATAAAAATGTTTGACTAGTTTTATGATTCATTGTTGGTCCTTGTAAATTTAAAATATTCCAGTCCATATTCTACACATTCATTGAGATTTTATTATACTACATCTTCCACAATGCACTAATAGAATGTAATTACCTTATGATCCTTTTTTAATGTAATTAATTTTGTTTTGTCATGCTAGAAATTAATTTTAGTTTCAAGTTAAAATATAATATAAATTAAAAAATAGAGAAGAAGCTAATTCCATAAATTTTACAATACCTTTTTAGTTTCTATTGCCTCTAAACCTAATGCTACTGGCCAAGTAGATACAAATGTTGGAAAATCTAAATATTTAATTAATATTGTATTGAATGAAAGATTTAATAGACAAATGTGAAAACCATTACTATTTGAATATTTCATAAATTCTTTCATATATATTCTTTTTAGTTTTAATCCATTTATTTCTATTTGTTGCAAAAGTTCTAAGATAAATATGTTTCCTTGTATTTGGCCGCAACCTAAGGAATAGAAAATGTTTCAAGGTAACGAACAGGGTTTAAAAGATAAGCAAAATTTTCAAATGTCTAGTTCTTTTATACCAAAGTTACTTATTATAATTGCAACCTCATGACCAATACAAAACTTTTTGGTTTCATGTATATCTGTTTTAGTTTGATTTTGTGATGTTATATTTAATATATCTATCAGTGGTTTGAGTACTTGTTTAACTAAATTTGGAAACATTTCCAATTTATATCCTTTATGAATTATATTTTCAAAATAATTATCTGTAAAATATAATCTTTTCTTTATATTATATTATTAGACAATTTAATTTAAAGAAAATTGTGTAACCTGTTTTTAAAAGTACTATTTCTCCACTATTTGTAATAGAATTACAAAAAGAATAGATCTCATCTAAACATTTTCCTTCTTCTGACATAGCTCCAGCTATTTTACATATAAAAAGTGTAGGTAAAAGATTATGTTCTTTTACACTATTACCAAAATAAAGCATATCACTGCTATTTATTGTTATTAGTCTAACAACATACCCTTTTAGTTCAGCATATAATTTTGCCAAATTAAAGTTTATAGAATATTCTGCATAATTTTCTACAATTAACAATATACCTGTATATATATATTTTATTTAATTATTTAATAATATAAAATAATATCTTATTATATAATTATATCTTATTACCTTCAGTGTAATCAAATCCAACTTCTTCAATAACTCTTAATATATTATCAACAGAAGGTGCAGAAAAGGTATTTCCTAAAACTGCAGCTGTTAACATCCCAGGACCCACAACTCCTGGATATATCAATTCATTTTCAGCTCTGCTACCAGATATTAATTTAACCTATTATTATAATGCCATATAATATCGTAATTAAAATTTTTATTTAATCATGACAAATTACATACCTTCCCAATCATATTTGCATAATCTTTACGTAAAATTGCATTACATTCTTCTAATGCAATTAAACTATTATGTATTTTTGCCATTCCCATAAGACTTTTATTCATTATTGTATCAAAATAGTCATATTCTTGTTCTCTTAATTCATACATCCTTTTGCATAAAAATATTACCTTCATATATTAGTGGAATAAACTTAAATAAATATTTATAATAAATATATTATATTATGTTAAAAATATAACTTATAGTTTTTAAATATTTGCTTTCAATATCTTATATTTGTAAATTGAAAAGGTTATTTAAACAGTTAACCTACCTAATTTGAGGCAAGTACAATTTGATCCCTTATAATAGGCTATATTTTTTTTCTTATTTCTCAAAACATAATGTTGTTATTCATTTTATTATGAAACAATAATTCAATTAGTTTTTATAAATTTGAATACAGACATATATAATTTAGAAACCTATACATAATCAATCTTTAGAAATTCATATGAATTGACAGTTTTATATTTAATGTTAAAATTTATTTGCTGTTAAAAATATGTATAAATCAAATTAATACTATGAAATTTAATGTATCAAAGTTAATGTAAAAAGATTAAGAAAAATATCGTGTATATAAAGATGTATTTATTTATAACTGCTTGATTCAGCCTTAAATGGCCGAATGTTGCACTACATTTTGACTACTTTTGCAAACTCTGCTTTTCAAAAGTATCAATTCATATAAAAATTTTTGATAATCATTTTTTTTAATACTTAAAGTAAAAATGTAATAATTAGATAAGATTAAGTCAGATCAATATGAAATAAGAACTTTGAAAGCAAAGGTTGCAAATACATTGGTGACAAGGTTTATCTTGTCTAATAATCATGTAACAACCTTAAACATTATCAGTCTACAAAGTTATACTAAAATTTGCTTATATAAATGTATTTAGATACATTTGTCATAACAATATCAGCAGTGTAGTCATGCATTCACACAAACAATGCATGTAATATGTACATCATTCTATGCTTAAAAATTCATTATTTTCACGCTGCATTCATACCACGCAGGGATTTCTATGTTTGCCTAACCCTATCTGGTATGTATTTATGAGTTGTATCTTTACCTGCGTTACTTTAAAAATCTACAAACGGAAATAGCAATCGTACTTTGTATTACATTAATTTTTCACCGGTTAATTTATAAATTTGCAATATCTTCTGAACTTGAACAAATTTTCTGTACAATTTTACATTAATCAAAATTTTGGAACAGCTTCAAACAGAAATGTATAATTTATGTGTATTGTTATATCACAATTCAAGGATAGTGTTGATAATAATGCATATTTAAGCTCATGCAAGTTACCAATCATAATCCCTTACAATATTCAAAAAAATGCTGTTCTATAGTTACATATGTATATGTATTTAAAGTTCCAAACAAATTAATTTTTAAAGTTGCATGTATAATAAAAAGTTGATATTTCATACAAGAAATTCGTTGTAACAAATAATTATGTATGAATTCTACAACAGTTTAAATTCGTCAATTGCAACTGTGGTATCCAACAAATTATGTTAATTTCTAATTTTTAGATTCAATTCTACACAGTTATTCACTTAATTCTTCAATTACTTTTAAATTACAAAACAGGCTAATCTTTAGCACTGTTTGCCATTCTGTACTACTTCAAGATGTATTTCCATAACTGTTATAAATTTCTGTGTCTTTCAAAGTGACTTTGTGATATTATTAAATAATCGTTTACCCCACCATGATTCCAAATCAAATGGTTTAAAATCTGAAATAGTATATTTATTTTAATCTATCTCAATTATATATAGTCTTTTTTTAAAAGAGAGAAATTATAGCTTACCTTGGAGGGTATCATTTGGTTCACCATCATTGTAATACACTATAGAACTAGGACCTGAAATTTACAAAATATTTTTGTTTATTATAAATATTTAATCAAATTTCAATTAGTTATTTATGAACTTGTATATACACAAAGATATACAAATCACAAGATATATATTTAATGCTTAGAAAGGTAAATAAAAGTAAAAAATTTACAGTCTGCTTCAATTAGATTTAAAAAACTTACTGGAAGGTTCTGAACAATCTGAACCATCAGAAGACTCAGTTCTTTGTCGTGTATTAACTTGATTCCATGCTGATAAATAAAAATTATAATTGTAGTGTTATGATATTATGCAATACAAATACAGTATAAATATATTTCCTTATACACTGTGAAATAAAAATTTTGTTATAACTTTCAAAATCAAGTAACAGAAATGTTTAACCTACATTCATAGACAAATTTAATAAGTTCTTCATGCTGAGGTGTAATAACTTCTTGCATTTGATGCCTCTGTGAACTGAATTTAGATTTTCCATTCATGTGAAAGACTGGTTTTGGCACATGGCTGTGAAATAATAATTGTTTTTATTATACATATTAATGTACGAAAAAACTGCTCATAGTACATCACATAACTTTTTTCTAAAAGCATATGATAATGATATGATTGTGTAATACTTCATGAATTATAATTTACGAGTTTCTAGGAATACAACATAGGAATTGCACGTGCTTACTATCAACGGACAATTATGAATTGCGTAATGTCGAAATGCTGAAGTTACAAAAAGAGAAAGGAAAGAAACGAACCAGGGTTAACATGGGTTCAAGCATTACTTACCGGGTGGTCTCGTGGTCATCATCAGGATCTGCTTTTCTCGTTAAATCACGCAAAGTTTCCAGCCTCTCAAGGTTCTGACTAATCCCTGAAAGATGATAATGTTCAAGTTGATATTATAACTGTTTATAAATACAGTTAAAAATTCTTCTGGTATCTGTACCTCTTCGTGTCTTAGCGGCTATCTTGCTAGGTCCTTTTGATACAGTATACATGTTTCTTATGAGAAAAGCACAACAATAACTTTGAACTATATTTTCGATACCAGATCATCCGAGATTAATCTTGAAATATTAGTATAGAATCAATCAAATTGTATACTGTGCGTTCAACTAGTACCGATTAGACCAACCGCACGGGTTGAAATGATCAGCGTGAAATACACGATGAGTGAACCACGTGACCTTAGCTTGTGGTATCGCAATGATATATATTCACGAACATATGTATCTGTACTTACACATCGATGGACCAATATGAGAAATTTGAATGCGGATATGTATCTTTTCATATACTGAAACGATAGAGAGAAATAATTTATATACATATATATGTTATATTGTATATATTGATAAAGAAAATTTGTTTGATAACCATTTAATATGAATATTATTTTATTATAAAATAGGTCATGCGATCGTATAATTATGATTAAAAAATTTATTTGAAAAATAGAATTTTAAATAAAAAAACTTACAGTACGACACAATTTTCTCAGTTCTTTTTATGTTATATTCGATAATATATTTGCAAATATCAAAATAATTTAAAATATAGAAATATTGTATATAAATAATATCTGAAATATAAATAATACCTAATGTCTGTAATTGTAATCTTGATTAAATATTAACATAAATATAAAATTGTAATTTATATAATTGTATTATAGAAGATCTTAATATATAGATAATAACAAATTTTTTATAATTGTCTTTGAAGTACTATATGTTGTAATTTTATATTAGTTTTATATAAGGATTAGAATTTTTAAATATAATCATCAGTATGTTGGAATATTAGAAAAGTTTATTACAAAACGAAAAAATGATGTATAATTTTAAAATATAAAGAAATTATTAAAAATATAAAATTAATTTCTTTCACAATATTCAATAAAAATTGCAATAATCACATAAAACAGAAGAATAATTTTTTATGTTATTACTTACATAGATTACAAGTATTTACGTAGAAGTAAATACAATTCACACAAATAAGCAAATTTAATTTTTCTTTCATCTTGTTTTAAACATCTATTTGAAATATTCTTAAATATTTCATCTATTCTAGAATAAAAGAATTAACATGTTTAGTGCTATACCTGCACTATTTGTCAAAAGTAATATATTTTTAGTAAAAATATTTGACTATTTGATATTAAAATAAAATATTCATTGGTAGAAGGATACAGCCTTATAAAATCAAACATTTAAAGATAGTTTCATAATGATTTATCACATCTTTAAAATTGCATAAAGAATCTTAGTTCTTATCATAGTACTGTCAATATGTTTGCTTTCTTCAAACTATAAAAGTAAAACTATAATTTTAAATTACAAACATAAGATTTACATAACGTTCCTTATTACCAATGATATTCCTATAATATAATTTTAGAATATATTAGTTATTTGTAATATATCGTTACATAATTATAACAATACTATCGATAAATTTATATTACTCTATAATAATAATACTTCATAAAGATCAAAATTACTATAATAATGAACGTATCATATTTATACAAAATATCAAATGATCGACAAATCTAAGATATAAAAATATTTCGATCTAAAGCGTAACAAAATCGATCACAAAATGAAATATTAATTTTTTTCTATTTAAATCCGCAAATTTGAAAAATGCAACTGCATAAATTAATAATTCTTATATAGTTCCAAGGCATGAGACCACACATTGTAATATGAATATTATTTTGCATACAATGTGTTTTTTTATATACAAATAACATAAGTTAGTATTTCTCCTATTTTTGCATTACATAATATTTACGCGTAACGGTTATTTTAAAATAAGTTATTCATTGTTATTAAATTTTTACAACGTAATAAAATGCTAATTTACGATCATTTAGTATCAATTCTATTCTTAAGTACATTTAAGCACAAAGCATTTTCTTTTTACTTTTTTTTATATTGTTTTCTTCAACTTATTTTGTCAATGTTTCTAATATTAATATTATTATTAGAAGCATTGATTTATTAAAAAGTGTATTTGATGACCGAATTAGAATAAATTTAATTTTCATCAGTTTTCTAAAATGTAAATATGAAAATTACATTTAAAGAGCAAATAAAGATTTATCTTGATCCTTATTAATTTGACGCTGAATGTTAGAGTTTTCAGAATTTGTAGTATTTCCTGTACTAGTAGTAGTTGTAGGTAGAGTTGGTAGAGCTTCAGCAGCAGCAGCTCGTTCTGCTAAGAAACGTTCGAACTCTGAAGATGTTAGAGATTCTTGATCACCATGTGCTCCTGGCTGAAAAAGAAGTTGTTTTAATAACTACGAAATATAATTAAATGCAATTTACATATAATTGAACATTTTGAAGAAAATTTTAATGATGTGTTAAATGATTATACTACAAATTTTTAATCTCATTGTTATATATAACTCACCGTATGATCTAACCAGGCTGCCATCTCATTAAATTCAGATTCCCGGTTCAGCTGAATATTAAAAGAAAGAAACAAAAAAATAAAAATAAACATACCAAACGAAACAATAAGAATCTGAACATATGCATATATATAGGCAAAAATAAAGCAAAAGGAAACATAAGAGAAAATTAATTATTTCATGCTATAGAAAGCAGTGAAAGGAAGCAACTTCTAAATAAATCTACTAAATGAATAAGAATATAATCACAACGTTTTAATATTACAATGTGTAGTAAGTATGATATTCTTACCTTTATGAGAGTAATTTTAAGCTCATTGTATGAAATCGTAACTAAATTGCTTACAAAAATATAATTTTGCAATATTGTGTAATTAAATTTATAAAAAGTTTTGTAATAATCTTACTCTTTTCAATAATAATCAGTATCTATATTATTCATGATATTAACTAAATGCTTAGCAATAATTATAGGAACAGGGATTACGCACAGAAGTAGCAGTAGTAGAAGCAGCTGTAGAAGCAGTCTGCTGGGGATACTTAGGATTATTGCGATTGAGAATCGCTGTACTGAGACTTCCTCCGCTCACCTGCTCCAAATTATCCTCATATTTGCTACCGCTACAATAAAAATAAGTGAATAGTTATATATTAGGTATACACATTTAAAAGTTGCAATTAATTTAATATTAGAAACCTGTTTTTTGCAGTTTCGTAAGATGTATTCCGTGATTGTGCAAACATATCAAATTCATCACTATCACCTTCTTTCTTCTCCTTCCGATCTATCCTATTTTGGTCAATATTATCAGCTATGCCTGTAATTTAATATAAAAGAATTATCCACACACACACAAACATTATTCAATTATTACAAATATAATACTTACCTATTTCTGTCATTTTTTTCTCTAAAGTATCAGTTTCATCAGATAAATCAATAAGAGAATCAGCTTCTTGTTTATTAATTGATGAAGCAGAATCTATGTTTGGAGGATGACCAATTGTTTGTGCTAAAATAGTACTTGCAGCAACAGCTTTGTTTTTTGTATAACGAGAATAACGCAAAAATAAATTGTTTAATTCATCATTAATACGCAATAATTCTGCTGTCATTTCATCATGTGCCAGCTTTCCAATTAAATCAACAACACGTTCTTGCATTGCTTTGCATGTGGAATGAAGTTCCTACAAATGATAAGTATTATAATTTAAATATATATGTCTACCTTACATAAAAATATATTTTTCAATTTCATATATACAGCATTACATTGTTGAATAGAAAAGGCATTTGTTTTAATGGGTATTTGCTATAAGGTATTTACTGCTATTCATATATATAAGACAAATAATTATATTCATACAGTTAAAAGTTCAAGATCAGCAGGATCAGGTTGTTGACTATTATTCTGATCTGAACTTGTAAAATATGCCAACATTTCTGATAAGACACGCATGTTTCCTTGTACAACATCGAGTTCACTTTGTATTTTAGCCATTTGTTGTTCATTCAATATAACTACTTGTCCAGATGATTGGTTTTGAAGTTGTTGGACTTGTGGTGTTACAGAAGTTACTGATTGCTGTTCAACTGTAGGTACATTCATGATATTTTGTTCTGACTCAGGTACACTCTACAATTATATTATAATAAAAATAAATTATAATAATCACAAAATATATAAAACAATAATTTTTTGATCATATATCACCACAAAAAAAAGCTTACTCGTTCTGGAGTGATAATAGGTGCCATGGCATCCAAGTCTGTCATTGGAAATTGAATCCCTTTTACCTTCAATTCTTGATATACTTGAACAACTCCTTGGGTATGTGGCTGATGGCGGAACGTATCTGCCCATGTTTGAATTAAACTCAAGACCTTTTCTTGCACTGCTGTTGGTGGTTCATTTTTTGGTCCAATTAACTTAACCAATTCTTGTACAAATTCTCGTGAACAGGCAAGCGAATGAAAACGTTTTCCACAATTTTTTACGCATGTCTCCAATACCTATTTTTGGCATTCATCCATTAACATATATAAATTAATGCTTATGGATATTTGAAAATAAGAAGACTAGAAGTAAGAAATAGATGAGTTCTAACAAAACAGCTATCATTAACCTACTAATCATAGCTGCTAAGTATGGTTAAAACCTAATTCAAATAACTGTAAAAAGAAGCAAATTATTTTGAAAAATTAATTCTGTTAAGAAGTAAATGCTTTATATTACATACATATATATTATTTAATTGTACAAAATAACTTTTAAATATTGCCTATGTCTTATCTGAAATGTAAGTATTATCAAATATATAAATACTAACAGTAAGAGTATACATGACTATAGTATAATTTTTTCCAGCAGCCTGATTTAGTCTACGCTTAATTGCTTTAATTGCATCTCTTGGCCCATCCTCTGTTTCATTTATAATATCACATATTTCCATATTAAGTGACCAATTTTCACTTGGCAAACTACCATCTGTAGCTTGCTCTGAAATATACAAATAAAGATGTTATAATTTATTAATTGGAATAAAAGATGTTAGATAGGTCATGATTCATGATGTGAATGTTGAATATATATACATATACATGGAAAAAATCTATAAGTATTTAAGCATTCATTAATATTGATGTACAAATAGTTGTCCATATAAAAAGAACTTATTAACTGATTATTAACATAATAATAAAATAACGGACTTAATGGATTTCGTAAAGGTAAATAATAAAACTTACCTATTTTCTGGCCTACTGGTGTTGAAAATGGATTGACATTTACTCCAAAAAATGACATTGTTGCAGGTTGTATGAAACT